TTGAGTTTGAGATATCTTTCAGCAACTCAGGTACAGACATACCATACATGGCTTGTTGTTAACGGGGCTGGAATTTAGGGTCATGGTGGACTAGGCTGGAAATATAAAATGTGGGTAATAAACACAAACTGGTGGTTGAAACCATCTGAGTGGCTGAGGTGACTCAGGATGGAAGTGCAACATAGGGATGTCACAATAGACAAACAGAGGAAGAGTCCAGAGCACAAGAAGTAAATAATTCAGTTCTGTTAGACAAGAATCAGGAGGATGATGTCAGTAGAAACATAGGAGAGAAAACATGCCCCCAAAAGAGTAAGAGTCCAATGCTCCTGAGATGTCAGTCAACTGGGTAGTGAAATATATCCAAAGCGTTTTTACAAAACTGCATCACCCTGAGTGGCCAGCAAGAGAGAACTGGTGGAAAAAAATATGGGACATTTGTATAGAATGTAGTTATTTCAAAAGTCACAAAAGGTCTCTCTGTCCTTGTATGGGGGAAACTATTTACCTACTGGGAGAAGGAGAAAAGGCTACAAGAGGAAAGAAGTAGTTATCCCACACAGCACTTCTGCAGCAGGCTTGTCTTTGTAGTTAGATTTTAAAAATACCGTGGAAACAATGAACCTATCATGTATTAAATCGGCAAAGTAACCATAAATAGAAAATATTGATTTTAAATGACTTTAGAATACAGCACTTTGATGTTATATACATGCTTAGCGAGAGACATTCAGGTAACAGAAGGAACTATACATATGGTTTAAAATTCTATTAGAAGTTATATTATTTCATATAATTGTATCAATATTTTGCAGCTACTTTATATCTATTGTTTAAAAGTAAGCAATTAAGTTAATCATCTCAGGAGTCAGTAAACATTATCAGTAAAAAAGAAAAGTGATGACATTCTAAATTTTAAAAATTAACTGAATATACCTGAACTGTTAAAATGTAATTAGAAAGATCAACACAAACATAATTTTTCCAGCTATGACCACTAAAATGGCCTAGAAGCAAAGAGTACTTCTAGTGCCCAGGTTGTGGTCACTAATACAATAATCTATTAAAAGAAACCAGAACTCCAATGTAATGGATGTTTTGGGGACAATTCTGGAAATTTGAATATCTGGTTAATAGGTAATAATTTATTAAAATATAAAGGTAGAGATAGAGGCCTGAAAACAAAGCATGTTGCAGAACAATGTATAGTGTTCCACTTCTGGGACTATACCCTAAGAATCCTGAAACAGCAGTTCAAAAGACCCTATGCACCTCAATGTTCATAGCAGCATTATTTACAATAGTCAAGTACTAGAAACAGCGTAAATGCCCATCAGTAAATGAGTGGATTAAAAAACTGTGGTACATTTACACGATGGAATACCATGCAGCAAAAAGAAAGAATAAGGTCTTACTTACCCTTTGTGACAGCATGGATGGAACTGGAGAGCACTGTGCTAAGTGAAATAAGCCAGGAGGTGAAAGAGAAATACCCTATGATCTCACCTATAAGGAATCGAATCAACAAAACAAACAAGTGAGCAAAATGGAACCAGAGACATAGAAATAAAGAACAATCTGACAGTGACCAGAAGGGAAGGGAGAGGGGGGATAAAGGAGGAAAAAAAAACAGTCAAGGAACTTGTATAAAGGACCCATGGACAAGAACAATGGTGGGGGTAGGATTGACTGTGGGAGGGGTAGGCAGGGCAGGAAAGAGCAATGGGGGAAAAACGAAGGCAACTGTAACTGAACAACAATAAAAAACTATATATATATATATATATATATACATATACATATTCACAGCATGTTAAGCATCACAAGTACAATGGTTAGATGGAGTTTTTAAGTTTTTATATTTTGTCTCAATTTATTACATGTTTATACTTAACATGATCTGCTTTTATTTTGAAAAGGAAATTTAAAAAGTAGCACTGTCAACTAGTTCACTGATGACCTAGGACATGGTGGACAGAAGCCAGGGTGCCTGGGGTGAAGAATGGCTAGGCGTGGACACCGTAAGTATGGACTACTCAGAATGAGTCAGGCACATGAGAAAGCAAGGACAAAGGAGAGTAATTAAAAGCAGAAACCCTAGTCTCCAGGCAAGCATTCTCTGCCATAGAGCTTTGGCACTGGCTTTCTTTTCTCTCTCCAGAAGATGCTTTCTTAACAGGCATCCATGTAACTCACTCAGTCACCTCATCTGAGTCTTTGTTCAGATGTTACCTTCCTGCTAAAGCCTATTCATAATCACAACCCTTTCTCACCTTAACACTTCCCTCCACATATACAAATCCCCTACTCTGACCTTATTTTTTCCATAGACCTTAATAAATTTCTAATGTTTTATGTAACTTTTTAATCGTTTATTGCCTATTGCCTCCACTGGAATGTAAACTCGCTTTAACATAAATTACTTGTTTTGTACACTGGTATGTTCCAGACACCTAGAACAGTGGATGGGCACTTAGTGTTACTTGATAACTATAAACAGAATTAAAAGAAGGGTTATTTAGGGTTGGGAAAGACTTGAACACATTTATGTGCCAACCTTGACTATTAAGAACAGGAAGAAACACAAACCCAATTAATGAACTTCAGGATGAGAGAAGTAATCTTTATGAGATTTCCTTTGTATCTTCTTAGAGTGTATAGAGTAAGAACAAAAATGCTGTTCAGAATGTTTTACAGGCCAATGAAAGAGTGAGCTGATTACCATGTGTGTCCTTGCTATTTGACCTTTACTTTTAGTAATACAAAAGTCATTGCTGGAACAAACAGCTACATAAAATTTTATTGGTGCTTTTTCAGGAGGGGGAAAAACTCATTGCCTTGGCAACAGGACGTTTTAGAAACACACAATAAGTTGGTACTTAGTATCACTGAAAAACAAAGATCCAGTTAATTTCATTTATTGATATGGCATACTGAACTAGCTGCACTTACACTACAGAAAAAGAATCAGTAGGAACTTTCAAAGAGGTCCACTTGAAAAGAAGTTTTGCTTTTCACTGCCTGGCTTATTTCACTTAGTATAATGCTCTCCAGTTCCATCCATGCTGTCACAAAGGGTAGGAGCTCTTTTTTCTTTCTATTGCATAGAATGCCATTGTGTAAATGTACCATAGTTTTTTGATGCATTCATTTACTGATGGGCACTTGGGTTGCTTTCAACACTTGGCTACTGTAAATTGTGCTGCTACAAACTCACCTATAAGTGCAACCTATCAACAAAACAAACAAGCAAGCGAAATAATATCAGAGACATTGAAATTAAGAATATATTGACAGTAACCAGAGGGGAGGTGGGAGGGGATAATGAGAGAAAAGGGGAAAGGGTTTTCAGGAACATGTACAAAAAACAGTTGGACAAAACCAAAGTGGGGTAGGATCAAGCCTGGGTGGGGAGTGGGGATGGCTGGGGTTGGAGGGGAATGGTAGGGCTAAAATGGAGACAACTGCACTTGGACAACAATTAAAAAAAGTTTTGCCATGAGGTTTATTTATTTCCTTAATGTTCAGTTTAATATTCAATAAAAATTTAGCTGGAAATAAAAAGGAAGGAATTGTATTAAGTCAAATTCAAGTCAACAAAATAAATTTTTATTAAGGTCATCAAAGGACTTAGAAAAAAGTAAAGTCATAAAGAAGATAGTAATCTCAATCAAGATTAACAGCAACTATAGTAGTAATATAGAAATGGAAAAGTATGAATTTGACCTATTCCAGATCTAGCACTTTTTTAGATTCAACCTCCTGAGATTTCTTTGGGGCTTCAATCTTTATCACTTTTTGATAGCGATTGTTTTAGCTCCTGAAAGTCCTCAATTCTGCTGTTTTGTTTCTATTGTTTTTGGATTTTACTTTAAAGTCACTTATTTAAATCTGGCTATTAAACAAAAGTGCCTGAAAACACCTCTAGTCTCAGAGGATCATTCTCAAATGATCAGTGTACAAGTACACACAATTTTCATTTTTGTCTTGGTTTTTTGGGTTAGGTCTTATTGTATGTTTCATGTAAATACATACATATATAGAGAGAGACACTTATATATGTCTATATATACTGCAAGCTTAAAAATAAACTCAGCTTAATACATAGGAACATATTTGTATTTGGTAAGGAGCAATCATTTCATATTTTTCTTTAAAAAGTTATAAAATGGATTGTTTGGATATTAAAATCAAAGGAGCTTAACTTTTAAAATCTGAATAAAAGCTCAGAGGTCACAGAGAATATAAATGACACAGAATCTTACTTTGAAAGGAAAGAAATAACAAGAAATAGAAAACATTACATTTTACTGGTAGAAACAATGTTTTACCTAAGATCAGAGATTTTTTCAACTGGTGTGCCACAAGAACTTTTAAAACATGCAGTACATATTTAGTCAAGGGCACTGACCTCCTTCCCCTCACACTGTCAAATAAAAAAAATGATAACAGCCAATACAACAATAGCCATCTGGGGTGAGTGAATTAAAATTATACCTATTTTTTATCAGATCGGCAAGAAAAATATTTTTTGGTGTGCTGCAGAGTTTTAATAATCAGTTTATATGTGCCATGAAATAAAAATCACTGCCTAGGACAGGTTAGAAAACAGTTTTTATCAGAAAAAAAAAGTAAACCCAATGAATAAGACATACTTAGAAAGCTTGTTAGTTAAACATTAGGGAAAATTGCCAACATAGTAAAAGAAACAAGGAAATCAAAGCCTTTAGGAGACATTTCATAGGGCATGTCACTGAGAAAAAAATATATCTCACTTTGTTCCTTTGGTTGAAGAAAGTATTGATACACCAAAGTTGATGTCTCACTGTTTTAATCTCTTGAAAAATTCCATTTTTGTGCTCTTCTCATTGAGGTATTTGTCACTGCCAACTAACACATTAACAATTTAGGTGAGCATGTTAATGGTAGTTTCAGGATTATAGGATGTCAATGAACTAACACATGATTGATACCCTAGGATCTTAGGAAAATACGAAATCTTTTCAGGTTACTGTTTATTGACTTCATTACTGTGACAATACATGCAATAATTCCGTGTCATGTACAAATTAATGGAAGTTCTGAGAATTCACTCATAGTCCAAGGTAATGACAATATGTAGGACAAACTTGGCTTGCCTGAAGGAAAGATAGATTGAATTAATTATCTAATACAATAATAATAAAAGACTTTAATAGGTTACATAGTCCTTCATATAAGAAAAGGTCTAAATCTATTAAGTATGAGAATTTTGATACCCTTACCAAAAGCTTAGGCAAATTCAGGTCAGTCAGTGATTGCTGTTATAACATTGATGTTGTCACGGGTTCACCCCGAGAACTGGTTCTCTGTGAAAACAAGTCAAAACCTGTGCATCTGATTTCCTCCTTTTCCACAAGACACACTTGGGTTGAATCTGTATCTTGAATGGGATTCTGTTGACTTCAGAGAATCCCAGGTTGAATAAGACACTGACAAGACTTCATAAGAACAACATAGCATCTTCATATAGTAACTGGATGATGTTAAGGGAATCTCTCCAGGAACTTTAAGGCAAAAAAGACAATATTTTTTTTCATTTTCTTCAAATAACTTGCATGAAGAAAACTGTCATAGGCATAATCATCCCTAATTAGTCATCTATACAGGCAGTGGTTAAAAGCATAATCTCTCCAGAATTCAGTATATGAAAGATACCTCTGATTGCCCACAACACATCCATTAATGTACAAAAATACTGGATAATGCAAACTACATAAGCTATACTTGCTTCCTCTGAAGGCAATTTAGGAAATATTTTTCTCTTCAACTAGCCAATACTCAATCCAGAAGTAGACATGAGAGTATTAAAGGGAACATTTAAATAAAGAACATAAAATTAGGCACTAGATTTATAGTTGGTTCCTATTACACAGAACTAGAGAATTTAAGGACTGAAATGTGGAGGAGAGAGACATGAAGGAAGCATAAGAAAAAAAAACTAATCTTTGGTTTCTTGGTTCTATCATTTTCTACTTCTTCAGAAGAATGCAATTTTACCAATTAACATATAAATATGCTCTAGTACCTCTCCTACATGAAAATGAAAACCTCCATTATGCTGGGCATGCCTTTCAGACCATTACCCAAGTCCTTTTACTTTTGCCAGATATCTTTAAAAAGTTGTCTCTCACTTTATTTGTATCTTTGCTTACACCCTACAAACTGGAATATTGCTTCTAGCTCTGTTGTTCTTCTCAAACTGTTGTCATGAGGAATATAGACAATCTCTCCTATGCCAAAGTCACTGGACCCACTTTTCAGACTTCACTTATTCAATCTCTCTGTGGCATTTGGAAACACTGACTACCTAATCTAACTTGAAATTCTATCCTCCTTCGCTTTCTGAGACACTGGATTCTGACTTTCCCACTTTGCTGCCCACTGTTTGTTACTTTGTTAGTGGGCACCCTTTTTTTCCATCTACCTTTAGTGTTCAACACTCAAGGTTCCTCCCAGCCTTAGTTTTCTGTCGCTTCCTTCTTAGTTGTAGGTTGGGTAATTTCATTCATTTCTATAACTCAAGCAATAACCAATATGCTGCCATACACATTTCTAGTAGGAGTCTTGATAACTTTTAAAGATTTTATTTATTTATTTTTAGAGAGAGGAGAAGGGGAGGAGAAAGAAAGAGGGAAAAACATTAATGTGTGGTTGCCTCTCCCATGCCCCCAACTGGGACCTGGCCTGCAACCCAGGCATGTGCCCTGACTGGGAATTGAATTGGTGACCCTTTGGTTTGTAGGCCAGTACTCAATACACTCAGCCATACCACCCAGGGCAAGGGTTCTTGATATTTTGACATGGTCTTGATTCAAACTTCGAAAGAAACCTTTTTATTTTCATTCTCATAATGCTCAAAACTGGCAGTCTCATCGTATCCCTGGGCTTCATCCTGCTAAATCATGTATTTTTTTATTGTTGAACTATAGTCAACTAATGAGAAACAAATAGTTTATATAATACTTAAATGGCAAGGTTTTTAAAAAACAAGAGAATTCCCAAATCCCTTTGGGAAACTAAAAAAATCTGAAAAAAAATAGCCCAAGCTCAGTTAAATATGAGGAACAAACATCTACCAATCAAGAATGTAATTACAAATTTCTAAGTTAAATATTAGCAACTTGAATGTAGCATTATGGTAAATTTGTGGTTTATTTAGAAATGGAACAAGAAAAAATATAACTATGTAAATAGATGATCAATAATCATCTAATAAAATTTAAAATTCATTCTCATGTTCAGGCCTAAAAAACAAAGAGACCTGATTTAATTTATAGCTTCTCCATTGTAGCTGTTTTCCCACTGGACAGGTAATTGAAACTTTTTTGGACCCCAGTTTCATTAATCTTTAAAATGGGTCTGCCTACATTGCCTTAAATCCTTGGTTTGAAATATCAATACATCTTGTCCTTTCTTTTATATAATATTCTTTTACTTTTGAAATTACTCATTTAACTTCTGATCTCCCCACAGACTTGCATTGCTATCCACAATGTCTAGCTTAATATGTGTGTGTATACAAGCAGTTACAGATTTTGTGAGACCCAGTTACAAAGTGAAAATGAGAGTGCTTTGGGTAAAAAAAAAATTAAGAATCACAAGACAGTGACAGTAGAGCATTAAACCAAGCATGGAGCCCTTGTAGGAACTAACACAGGCCCCTAGGCAATGACACAGAACACATGCCCATTAAAAATGTGAACTCGTGTGTGTGTGTCCAAAATATGTTGAATACTATGCCTGGAAAATTAAGCCATAAGAAGTTCAGAAAATATCCAGACAGAGCAACAGCTAGCATTCAGATCTCAGACTATCAAAAGTAGTTATAGTTAGGTAAAAACAGTTTTGGTACTTAATTAAGAAAATATTTTCAGGTTACCAATAATTGACTATTTTGATTGAAGGCACTAGACCTCATGCAACTCAGGATGGGTGTGGCCTATGAATGTAGCCCAACACAAAATCATTAATTTACTTAAAATGTTATAAGATTTTTTGAAACAAAATGTTTTGTAAAACATTATGAGATATGTCCCAATGTATTTAACATGTGACCCAAGACAACACTTCTTCCAGTGTGGCCCAGAGATACCAAAAGGTTGGACACCCCTGCTAGAACATTAAAAAAGACACTGATTAACCTTTAACAAGTCTCTCTTTTAAGTTGACTTTTATATCATCTTATTTCATTTTTTTCTATTACATTTTATTAGTAATCCTGAGAATGTTGTCTTCTTTCCTAGTATTTACTGGTTATAGTTTATAAACTTCATGTATTGTTTCCATGTTAACTGTTTTGCACAATTCACTGGGGCAATGAGTAAACATAATAGTAATAACTCCATTTTTCTAATCATAAAACATCAGCACACAAAAATTCACATACATTTTGTCCTTGCCCATCTGTCTTGTAAAAAATAATGTTCAGTTTATCAAAATATCAACCATTAATTTAAGACTTAATTTAGAATTTTTTTCCTGGTAGAAAAATAATAAAAATGTGGTGAGAATGTGCCCACTCTCATACAACAAAAATTCCAAATCCTATCTTCTGAAGAGTGATTCTTCACATTTGGGGTCAGAAGGAGGAATTTACATCTCTCCTGGAGCTCTGAATACTTTCTCCTCATGCTTTCCCAACATTCACTTATGCATATGCCCTTATTGTGCCAGGTTTTGTGGCGATTGCATGAAAAAGGAAGACGGATTTCCTCTTAAGGAAGTTATTGATAGATGCTCTTTTATCTGTCCCTGATAAGTGAAAAAAAGGGGGGTGGGTGGGCAATTTCTATACCTCAGTGTCACTGTCAGGGATAACAAATAACCAACCTAAGTGTGTTTAGGTACTGGATTCCCTTTTAAAAGTCACTGCAGCTTCCAGTGTGTCTATGCTCATCTCTTCTCTAGGTTCCAGTCACATGGAAGTGCTCTGCTGTGCTCACCCATTTCCTCTCCTGCTGTCATTTTCATACTCCTCTCCATCTTCCCAGTTTCCCTCTGCATTCACATCCTTTTCCTCAGGCATGTTCCCATTCTTGCCTTCTCTCTCTGCTGTTGTCTCACGCTGTCCCTAAGGAGTCCTGTCTGACTGCCTGAGTCTAGATACTATCTAGAAGGCAACTTGGCTACGACAGGAGAAAAACAGGACAGTGTGGCTGGAGCCACAGAGGGTCAGAGGAGCAGCAGAGCCCAGGTCACCCAGGGCCTTAGGCTTGGGGTAATTGGAAGTAGCCAGGCTCTTGTGAGGAGAAAGGGTCACCAGCAAGAGTGAAAGCTGGCCATTCTGGACTGCAGGGTGGGTGTCTATGGTTGGCCCATAGACAATTCTCAGAGCAGACAGAGTGAATTTGGATGTTTTAGAGGTAGAGCTGATGGGGCTTGACTGGATTGGATGTGGGACATGGGACTAACAGACAAATAGAGGATCCAAGTTTCAGGCTTGAGCAATCCTGTCTCACTCTCTTTTTCATTGGTATTCTCTCTCCCTCCCCTCTTTCTCTGTTCCTTCACACCAGAAGAGAATCAGGAATGCTCCTATCCCCAGGTGAACTCCTGATGGCGTCTCAGTTCAGAAATCACAACCTCCAGAAACCTTTCCTGAGGTCCTCACACTTGGGCAAAGATGTATCCGCATGATGCATGAATGACCCTGTCCCCTTCCTGGCATCAGTTTCTACATGATTCATGAGGACTTCTAACACAGAGTTCCACACATAGACTCTGGAGCCAGAATGGAGCAGGTTTGTGTACAATCTCCCTCACCAACTCCCTAGATGAACTCTGTTAAATTAGTTAAGGAAGTCTTGGTTCTCACATCTGTGAAGCACAGATAAGAAAATTGTCTACCTCACAGAAAATGTTGCATGAGACCACATGTGCAAAATGCTTACTTCGCATAATACTCGCGCAGAGCAAACGATAGATACATAATAGCCACTATTATTATCACCGTTATTACTTTACACTACCCACCTTCATTTAAGCAAAGCTTCAGCAGACTAACAGAAACCAAACTAAAAACTAAAACAGGATATACCTAAATAATTCAGGCCTGGAAAAAAATTTAACTACTCAGCAACACACAGTCAAAACTAAAAGTATGATTTCTTAGCCAATTCAGACAAATGTGAGAGTCAGTTATTTAACTATGATAGACTCCATTTCCTTCATCTAATTTGGGCTTTGATTTCCACGTCCAAAGACTTTCACTTACCAGCGTAGGTGGACCCACAGAATTATTTTTCCCTAAGGTCTCACCTGAGCAGGTGCATCTACAAAGAGCAGAAAGAGACTGATGAGAGGTGTTGGAGAGGCCGAGGGCGTGGCTTTCTCACTCCTTCCTACTTTCTTTTTTTAGAAGACCATTTGGCATCGGCCATCACACCTGTGGCCAGAGCTGCTACGCCCCTTCCCTGGCGTCCGCTCGCAGTAGTCCAGCTTTCGTCCTATATTTTGTCGCTTCCGTGACACAGTGGCAACCGATGCTTGCCTATTCCAGGGACCTAGCTCTCCCAAGGCGGCTAGAGGTCACCTGGAAAGTGTCTTGCCTCGAATCGCTCTAATTCAGAACGTTCCCTCGATCTTCCTGCGGAGTCCTCCTCTAGTCCTGGTCCGGATTCACAGAAAGCCCCGGGTTGGGGTGGGGGGACGTACACAGGTGCGCGGGGGAGGGGGGCCACTCAGGGCGCCCGGTGATGAACCCAAAGCTCGAACCTGCAGACCCAGCGCGAAGTAGAAACTGAAAGTACACAGCGGCAGATCCTACGGAAGTTCTAGGAAAGGCAGAGCGCCCAGCCGGGCCGTGGCGTGTGCCGCTCCCCCCACCCCCTCCCCTGGGATGGATGAAGCAGCGGGCGCGGCGTGGGGCAGAGGAACCAGCTGCAGAGGCACCAGCCGCAGAGGCGGCCGCGGGGCCCGACTACCGGCACCTCCGAGCACACGGTGGTCCTCCCAGTGACCATGGGCTGTGAGAGTCCGCTCCTGCTGCAGTTGCGGTCATCATGACCACGCCCGCCTCCTGCAGACCATGTTCCATGGTAAGCGCTCCACTCCCGGCGCACAAGTTCGCGCGCCGGGCACGCTGGGGGCTCCGGGGCGCGCAGTCGGGCCCCGCGCCCAGGCGCGTCCCGGAACAGCCGTGCCTTGCACTTTGGACCTGTTGAGAGCACTGGCTCTCCCACAAGCAGCCGGTAGCTGCGCCGGAGTCCCCTGGCCCAAAGCCACTGGCACCTGGGGCAGCTGCGCCTGGCTGGCTGAGAGAAGCCATCCCCGGCGCCCCCTTTCTGTCCAGGGATCAAGTGCCGCAGCCTCTGCGCGGGACAGACTGGTCTCTGAGGGAGACGCGGGCTCTGTCATACGTCCTCAGCTACGCTGCCCTCGGTCCCCCTCGCCCAGCCACCGTGCTCGCGTCACCGTCGGCTCCAGATTACAACTTACTGGCACCCGGCGTCGGGGAGGACTTGGGCTCCTACAGCTCCCAACTCCCTGGAGAAGTGAAAGCGCGGCTCCCACGAGAAGTGCTTTTAAACCCTAAGGGGATAGGACTCTGGAAAACCCCGTTTTCCTCCCTCAGAGAGGCTGGGAGTTTCCGTCAAGGGCTGTCCCTTGTGCCTTTTTGCAGGGAACCAAGTCCTCGAACTGGCACCGGAGAGGCCAGTTTCAGGTTTCTTTTTCTTCCTATTTTATTTGTGCGGGTTTCAGACCTGAAATGAACAAGGGCAGAGGAGGGCGAGCTGGGTTTCGTTGGCAGCCCTGTGGCCAGAGTCCAAAAGTTTACTGGAAGTAGAAATGGGACAAAAAGATGTGAAGGGAGAGAATCTGCTGAGGAAAATTGGAATGTTTTACAGTAAACACTTCCTCAAGCAAAAGGAGCCGGGTGGGGGAGAGTGCTGGAATAGGGATCAGGTCCTTGGTCCCTTTGACGCTTGGTCTGTGGGCTTTCCTGGCTCCACCGTGGGATCACAAGAGCCCTTTCCCATCTCCAAGGTATTGAAGAATCAAGAATGGGCATTGCCCAGAATGACTAGATCAGTAACAAAGTAAAGGGGCACGGGTTAGAGTATAGAAGACAATTATGGAAGAAGATTTATAATGGACATCCTCCAGAAGTTTGTGGAAAATTAAAAATTAGGCATATTCTTGTTTTCCTTTCAATGACCATGGGTCCTGCTGTTACTTCTTTCTGGATCGTTCCTGGTTCTATGTAATCCTCGCGTCACCTCTGACCTGAAGTGGAAAGTAAAACAAGAGAAGCCAAGGGTGCGCATTATGAACGAGTCTTTTTTTTCTGAAATATATCTATATTAATCATGTACCATAAATTGTTATCAGCAAGCATTATTAAAACTCTAAACTTGGAATAATGGTTATAGTAAGTGGCTTTCTGCAGTTTGTTTCAATAGATTTCACTAGAAGCTTAAAGACAGGGTTACTCTTTGATCTTTTTCTTTGCTACTTCATTTGGGAATTTAAGTTATTGAGGACCTACTACGTGGTCCTCAACTGGGCTATGTAGTTTAGAATATTTACTCATATTTGAAGACCGAAAAATGGAATGGTACTAAAAACAGAGAGCTAAGAAAGATTAGAAAACTTGAACATGGATAAAGGAGTATTACACACAGTACCACATCACTGTTTAAATATCTTAAACAAAAATGGAAAAGATCATTTCATAGGACCAACTGACACACCTTATCACATGTGAGATTTTTTTCTGGTTTCACCTCTGACACATAACCTAGTGAAATAACAGCAAATAATAGTGTCTTTTTTCCTGCGATAAGAGTATATGATGGCAGCTTGTCAGAACTTGGCCAGGAAGCACTGTAGTGAGGTTCGTGTGGAGCAAGGTGGGTTGTTGTACATTTATTTCCCTTGACTGAACAGCACACAGTTGTTGGTGTGTGTGTTGTTTGTTTTTGTTTTTTTTAAGAAGCAGGTAAGTTGGTGGCTAAAAGCTGAGTTTCTAAACTCTTTGAACCTAACAAACCTGAATTTGAATCTTGCCTCTCATTAGACACTTTATATATGGAAAGAAAAACATCTTTTTGGTTTCAGATTCTGCATCTGCAAAATGTTAATAATTGACAGCCCTTAATTCATGAAATTGATATGAAATATTATATGTAATGTCATAGGAGGGCTTCAAAAATGTCTTTAGTGTTTATCATGGGATTTGTGGATAGAATTTATAGTCCAATCTGAATATGCTTGTGGCAATTATAAGATTTCTTTATGTGAGCAGCATCATATTCATTTCTGAAAGCTTAAAAAGCTAATTTCCATCTAACATATGATTTTTTTATACTCTTCATTAACATTTTCTTTAGTCACCCATTTGCTTGTGCCAATTGATCATATTAAAACCAAATCTTATACATTCAGGTGTTTTCTAATCCATCCTGAATGTCTTTTTACCACTTTTTAAAATTTCCAGTGAAAATAGGTCTATAATGTTTGTAATGGACAAACAGTTAACACTTACTGGTCTTAAAGGCTGAAAAAAAGATTGGATTTGATGGATTGTAGAAACTAATTTATTTATGTTCACTTTGACCCCATAACTTAAGTAGCTGAGGATTGAATGTATTATTTGGCTTAAATTAAAAACCAACAAGAATTTTTTAGACAGCCATCATTTTGGCTTAACCAAATTCCCTACTGAAAACAAGTTCTCCAGTTTCAACCCCTTCAGGAGATCTAAAGAAAATTCCACAAGTCCAAGCCTGCCTTACATTATTCTTTATGGTTTGTCTTCTCTGTAACTTAATGAAAAGGTCAGGGTTGGGGGAAGTGTGGGTATCAATATATAATTTGAAATAAAACAAAATGAGTCCTTCTCCCATTGTGACAGTGTTAAAGCAAGCTCAAACCAGGCAATACTAATGTTACTCTCTATGTGGTGTGGAGAAAAGACTTTAATTACAGACCAAAGTGCAAGTCATTAGCAGGAGAGCTGGAAATCTATGAGATGTAGGTCTGAAGCCCAGGGTGCTCTTGTAGCACTGTTCATGAGCGATTTCAAATCTAAAGAGTTACTGCATGTGGATGGCCAGGTAGATTATGAGCAATAAGGTGCTTGAAAATTGAAAGGGACATGAAGGGATCATTTAGTCTCAAGTCTTCATTTTACAAATAAGGAAAGTGAAGCTTAAATGATACTCTGTCATTCATTCAGTCCACAACCATTGTCACACAAACCCCATCTCTACTCTGTAAAACCTCACTGTCCTGCACTGCCCTACTCTTACTGAGGGTGACTTATTTAACAGTAATGGCAACAAAGGGCACTTCTTACTGACAAGTCAAATTATGTTTTAGAATTTGAAACTAGTTTTATTACACAAAGACTGAATTTTCCACCAAGTCATCATTCAAAAGCATTGGTAAAATGTGTTTCAATGAATAAACAGGCTTATGTGAATTTGGAAGCACGCATTATTAAAAGTTGAGGTGAAGTGGACACAAGAGCTAGTGCTCTGCATAGAAAATAAAACATCCTCCTTTATTAAAGCATAGAAGGTGTTCCTTTGAAATAACATTTATCTACAATGGTAAAAATGCCTCCATTTCATTCTGGTATTTAATTGCTTTACTGTATTTCTCATAAAGCTCATTTCAAGTTATGTGCCATGTAACTTTCCTTTTATCATCTAATTCTACCAGTGTACACCATGGGGACACCTGTAAGGTGACAGAGAAAAGTTAATTTCTCTACAATCCATTAAACTCTGATTACAAAGTTAGGACCTTGTAAATCATTAGTAGTTGTTCACATTTGAGAATCTTCAGGCTGAAGGACCAGTAGTAGAAGAGAGAGCAGAGCTGTATAATGTTGCACGGAAGTGGTTTGCATCCAGAAGACTAACATAATTACATATTATCAAAAGATGATGACCAGTTCTGATCAAGTCCTGGTGAGGCAGCAAGCTCAGGTTAAAACCCAGAGCTGGCACCTACTATCCATGTTTCAGAAAAAGATTAACTTGCAGAGCTCTTATTCTTTAGAACTAATATGTATTTGACACTTAACAATGCTTGTCACAGGGTAGGTATTCAGTTAAAGGTAACTAGTGTCATCATCATTATTAATCCCCTAAGTGAATTATTGCTTGTCATGTATATGGATATTTCATGCTGAGCAATGGATTCCATGTCTCATTTTGTTTCTACTGCCTTTCCCAGTGTCAGTGACATATGAGGATGAGATTCATGTAGGATTGATGTTTGTTCCCAAATCTGCTACCTACCCTACTTTATTTGTAAAATATGGGTATTTAATAGCACATCATTTATTAAGTGCTACCAATTTTTTATAACAAATGATATCATAAGTGACAATGTTATTGAGAACTTTGTGACATATTTAATAGTCTTTAGTTCATTGTCATAGTAGCACCTTGGGTTCTAAGGAGTATTGTTTGTAATCTTAATCAAAATAGGTGCACATGTGAAATGCCTTACACTCAATAAGTACAGTTAAAGTTCATTTGGGGCATTCACAGAAAATATGTTGTCAGCATAACCTAAGTATTTACCAAAAGATGTAGAGAAGATACTCTGGCAGGCTTATGAAGAATTAAGTCCCTATATAACCAGATTTTTATGTCTCAGGGAACCACTGGCTTTGTATTCCTGTATTATTACTTCTCCAAATTATACCATTTATGATTTCATTCCTTTTGATTACACAATTGCCCCTAATTAGGAAGGCTTATAAAAACAGATAGAAATAATTAGTTAACAGGGTGGGAACTTATTTACTGAGTTTTTCTAACATATCAAGAAGCTAAACAGTGTTTGAGGAGAATAGGGTTCTCTGGGTACTTAGAAATAGCAGTTACTGAAAAGATAAGGAATCTCAAAATACAAATGTCAACTTTAACATTTCTGGGAAGGGTAAACACTATATATACACACACATAAATATACACACACGATCACAGATTAGTACCATGGAGATTAATCTGTAATGCATTCACTTGAACAACCGCTGAGTTTTATATATGTATACAATCACATGCCATAGATCATAAAATTTCAAAAATGCATACTGTTTTTACCTGTCATTAGTTTACCTATTCACCTGTAGATGCCTTTTCTTGTAGGGATGTTCAACATAAATCAAAATTAAATAATCTGAATTTATATATTGAGTATTTCAAAAAAGCAAAGAGACTCTGCTGGCATCCACCCATTTCTGCACTCTCTCAAAGAGTAATTTCTCAATTAAAAAGTGAAAGAAACCTGAACACTAAAATTCTGTCTTACTTTTGTTATTATTTAATATTGAATCTTAGAGTTCTTCCCCCACTCTATCAAAAAACCAAGATGCATGTTTACAGTTATTAGAACTATGTGGTCAGGCCCATTGACATGCTACTATCAACTCAGGCAATATGACTTATAATGTTTAGCTTATTCTTACTTACTGTTGACTTTAGTTTCTTTTAGGTATATCTTTGGAATTCCTCCCCTGATCCTTGTTCTGTTGCCAGTAGCATCATCTGATTGTGAGATTGAAGGTAAAAATGGTGAAGAATATCAGCATATTATAATGGTCAGCTTCAAGGAGTTGGTATGTACTTCTTTTGCTTTTCTCACACTTCAACTCATTGGGAAAATTTAATAGGTACTGTCTCTATGCAGTTTTGTATTCTAGCATCCATTTTTAATTCTTAAAAGTGAAATAACTAAAGAATGAAATTCATTGAGCTACTTACTGACTATGTATTTTCATAACTGGCATCATTATATCATTAAAAAATAATTCTTTCCTAGACTTTCAGACTCCCACAGCTATCCATTTAAACTCTATTTCTGTTCATTATCAATTTTTTTGTAAGCATGATTTAGCATAGCTGTGTGCATTTCCTTACCTGTCATTAACAGTTAGTCTCTGTAGAAGTATTAGGTCAAGAGGGGGAAAATAACAGAATATAACATTTAAGATTATCATGAAAATATATATATAGTTATTTCATTTTATCGGAATATATGTACATGCATATATATTATATATGTATTATATACACATGCATATATAATTTGCTGTGAATTAATTTTTCTATTTACCATGGACAATTTTTAATAATAGATTTTATTTTTAAAGCAGTTATCAGTTTACAAAAAAAGGTGGACTGAATGTAAAGAATTCCCAGATATCCATTCTCCCTCTGCGCAATTTCCTCTATTATCAACGTCTTGCAATTTTGTGGTACATTTGTTACAATTGATGTACCCATCTTGATATGTTATTATTAATTAAAGTTTATAGTTGACATTGGGTTTCACTCTTTGTGTTGTACAGCTCTATAGGTTTTGACAAATGCATAGTGTCATGTGTCTGTCAATACAGTATCCTATAGAATGGTTTCAAATGCCCTTAAAACTCCCCTATGCTCCACTGATTCTTCCCTCCTGCCCTCCCCTTCAACCAATGGCAGCCAGTCACCCATTTGCGGTATCTCTAGTTTTGCCTTTCTGGTATGTCATGTCATTGGAGTCAGGCAATACACATTTTTTAGACTAGCTTCTTCTACTTAGTAATGTGTAGTTAAGGTTTCCCAATGACTTATTCTGGAATGACTTATACCTCATCTCATTTCATTGCTGAATAAAATTCATTGAATGATTATACCTCAGTTTGTTTCTCCATTCATTGATAGAAGGACATGACTTGGTTGCTCCTAATTTTTGGCACTAATTAATAAAGCTTCTATAAACATTCATGTGCAGGGGTTTTTTTGTGGATATACAAAGTGAGTTTTTAATTCACTTGGATAAATACCTAAGAGACTGATTATTGTATGGGAAGACCATGTTGAGCTTTGAATAAAACTGCCAAACTGTCTTCTAAAGTGATTAAACTATTTTTCATTTTATATTTCATGAATTTTTGACATTTTCTGGACTAAATGATACCACTAGATTAATCTTCCTGAGTCAAGATAATGATTTTTATTTAACTTTATTATCTGTGCAGAGAATCAACCAGTATTAGTTCTGCAACACTCATGTGAAACTGCAAAAAATAAAAATAAATTAAAATGCTATTGACAATTCAAAAGGAGAGTTTAGTCACCAGATGCACAGCTTCCCCCTTCTCCACCCAGAAATACAGAGGAGCTAATCTCATTAAAATGCATAGTAGCAACAATGACACTATTAAAACAAAGCATAGCCTGGCTACTGGTCTTAATTCACAAGACAAGGAAAAGTATGTGAGGCAATCAATCCAAGTGAAAAGTGCCATGATAATCTCAAGGAAGTTGTAAATATGAGGTGACTAGTAGAGAAGATTGAGTTACTCACTCATGCATACTTTTCAGATGTGACTGTGTTTAAGTCTCAGGGAGACCATAATACTACTGACACTTACGTTCCAGGTTATAACTGATTTAACCGTTGCAACGTCTTTATCAGACAGGTACTCTCCTAGCTTCATTTCACAGAGGAAGAATCTGAGGCTCAGGCTGCTCAGTCTATTAAGTGTTAGAAGGATACGAGCCTCTGCTAGTAACCAGAACCCTCTCCTGCCTCCCAGGAGTAATATCTGTGTTAGGAGTGGTGGAAGACTGGGAATAAGGCAATGATGGACCAGATATATACACTTCTTTTAAGAAGCTTACCTTTGGTGATGTTTAGGTTTTGAGGGAAGAATTCAAGTTGTAACTTAGAAAGTTGGGAGCCAGATTTGGAAAGATACAAAGTGTGTTCTAGAAGGAGGTGAAAAAGGTCATCTTGGTGCTAGGAGACAGACCACATTGTGGAGTGGTGTGCTGATCTCTAGGCTTTTTAGATAGTATACCCCTTTAGTAAAAAAAAATTTAAATATATTTAATCAATTATGCTATTACAATTGTCCCATTTTTTCTCCCCTTTATTCCCCTCCTCCCTGTGCACCTCCATGATCATTTCCCCAACTTTATTCATGTCTATAGGTCAGACATATAAGTTCTTTGGCTTCTACATTTTCTATACTGTTCTTAACCTCCCCCTGTCTATTTTGTACTTACCATTTATGCTGCTTATTATCTGTACCTTTTCCTCCAATCTCCCCCCAACCCCTCCCCACTGATAACCCTCCATATGATCTCTATTTCTGTGAATCTGTTCCTGTTCTAGTTGTTTGCTTAGTTCATTTTTGTTTTGTTTTGTTTTGTTTTTTAGGTTCCATTGTTGATAGTTGTGAGTTTGCTGTCATTTTACTATTCATATTTTTATCTTCTTTTTCTTAGATAAGTCTCTTTAACATTTCATATAGTAAAGGCTTGGTGATGATGAACTTCTTTAACTTGACCTTATCTGGGAAACACTTTATCTGCCCTCCCATTCTAAATGATGGTTTTGCTGGATCAAGTAATCTTGGATGTAGGTCCTTGTCTTTCAGGACTTGGAATACTTCTTTCCAGCCCCTTTTGCCTGCAAGGTTTCTTTTGAAAAATCAGCTGATAGTCTAATGGATACTCCTTTGTAGGTAACTGTCTCCTTTTCTCTTGCTGCTTTAAGATTCTCTCCTTATCTTTAATCTTCAGTAATGCAATTATGATGTGCTTTGGTGTGTGTTTCTTTGGGTCCAACTTCTTTGGGACTCTCTGAGCTTCTTGGACTTCCTGGAGTTCCTGGAAGTCTATTTCCTTTGCCTGATTGGGGAAGTTCTCCTTCATTATGTTTTCAAATAAGTTTTCATTTTCTTGCTCTTTCTCTTCTTCCTCTGGCACCCTTATGATTTGGATATTGGAACATTTAAAGTTGTCCTGGAGGTTCCTAAGCCTCTCATTTTTTTTCAATACTTGTTTCTTCGTTCTGTTCTGGCTGAATGTTTATTTCTTCCTTGTACTTCAAACCATTACTTGAGTCCTGCTTTCCTTCCCTTCATTGTTGGTTCCCTGTACGTTTTCCTTTATTTCATTTTTCATAGCCTTCACTTTTTCCTCTATTTTGCGACCATACTCAACCATTTCTGTGAGCATCCTGATTACCAGTGTTTTGAACTCTGCATCTGATAGGTTGCCTATCTCTTTGTCATTTAGTTATATTTTATCTGGAGCTTTGATCTGTTCTTTCATTTGAACCATACTTCTTTGTCTCTGCATGCCTGTTACATAGTAAGGGGCCTTAGGTATTCGCCAGGGCAGGGAAACCTGCAGTGTGACACTGTATGTTGGGGAGGGATCTCAAAGGGAACAATGCTGCTTGCTGGGCTCTCAGCCAACTTTCAGTCACTTCCCTGGCTACCCACAATCAAATGGGCCCTTCTCACGCTGATTCCCAGGTGGGTGTGTTTGTGTACATTCTAGGACCCTGTGGGTCTCTCCAGCAAACTTTCCTGTGAGGCTGGGAGTTTTCCCCACTGCTTCAACCCCCACAGGTTTTTTCACTCAGAGGTTTTGGGGTTTTATTTCCCTGCACTGCAACCCTGGGTTGTTTGGTCTGTCTTGCTCCCCAGTTGTTCCTCCTGGTTTATCTGAATGCAAATGTGAGGCCACCTGCTCCACCAGCTGCCACCTCATCTGTCTGGTTCTCCAGCTGGCACCTTGCTGTGAGTCATTCCCACTGCAGCTGCCTGTACACCCCTCCTGCTGGTGTGGATGAATATTTCTTTTTTAACTCCTTGGTTGTCAGACTTTCATACAGTTTGATTTTCTGGCAGTTCTGGTTATTTTTTGTTTTTAAATTTGTTGTTGGTTGTGCAAGAAGGCAAAGTGCATCTACTATACCTCCATATTGGCTGGAAGTCAGCAAACATTTTTTGAGCCTGTACTTCCATTGCACATTTAACATTTATTTATATATTATAGCATTTTCATAGTATTTTCATGTACGTTGGTAATGATGCACACAAAAATTAAAATTTACCTAGGTGAGATAAAAAATAAATTGTGATAGAATTTTTAAAATTGCCCTTCCCTGTTGCAGTAGACTGTCCATTGTGAACTCCACTTTGAAGATCATGAACATAGCAGAAGACATGAGTGGGCCTATGTGTTATATAGCAAGATGAGGAGTGATCTTGATGAAATGGTATTTAGGCTTTCTTCTAAACATAACTAAAAGTCAATGGTGGTTCAATCATAAGGTAACATTTCATTAAAATACAAACTTTTGAGCGTTTGCTATGTGCAAAGTGGGCCATCAAAATAAGTGCTAGTCTTTGTTCTTTTGTAATCTGTGGAGGTGATGGAGACATGTGTCACTATAATGCAAAATGATAATAGTACATTACAAAAGAGTCTGATACACATTATCTTACTTGAGCTTCACAATATCTCTATGAGGTGATAATGATGTAATAGTAATAGGTTTTACTATTTGCCAATGCTGTTCTGAGCAGTTTCTATGTATTAATTTTATAATTCTTACAACTCTATGTAATAAAGGTATAGAGACCCAGATAACATAGATGGCAAGTGGCAAAGCTGGAATTCAAATGCAAGCATTCTGGTTCTAAAAAATGCTCTTATGAGGCAAGGCAATTAATAGTACCCCTCTGACCTTCTATTTTTGTGGGAGAACATGGGTTATGGAGTTGTGATGATAACAAACATCAGAAGGTATCAAGAACTTTAAGATGAT